AATATATCACAGGTCACTTGATTGAGTGACTAGAAATGCATGGCCATGCTCGAATAAGTTGATATGTGATATCACAAATTATTCGTTAATTATATAGTCTACTCTAGATATGAAGAAACAATAGATGGACTATACAAGTGTGACTATTCAAAGACTTGTGCCTATTCTAGATATAAAGGACAAAAGGATGTAATACATAAAAGAGTTAATCACGAAGATGATATGTCGAATCATAATTTCTTGTAACTTAGGTGACAATGATATATTGCTAGAACTCATTGTATGTAATATTAGAATTGTTCTAATAATTACTACTAACGTTACAAGAACCTATAGGGTCACACCCTAGGATTGAAATGAGCAAAGATGTACAATTTGTTGTATGTTACTAAAATATATCTAAAGTTAATATATGTATATTTGATATACATATGATTTTAATTATCCCGAATATAGTAAGTAAACATTAAAAGAATGTAATTTTGATTACAACTCTTTTAATTGATATTTAATTCGGAATAATTAAATAAGATTTTAAATAAACATTAAAGATTGTAATTCAAATTATAAGTCTTTAATGTATATTTAATTTGAATTAATTAAATAAGAAATTTATGAATTCAAAATAAATTAAAAACCCTAAATGTTAGGGTAACTGATATATTTAAGTGAGGTAAGGTCTAGCAGCCGACTACTTCAGCTGTTTTTCTCAAAACCGATTTTGGGAAAAGAAAATTTTGCTCACAACAGGGTGAACTAAGTAGAGGTCGAGACGTGTTTTCGTGGAGGCTTACAATTCGAACCATTCATGATTACCACTTCTCGTTGTTGTCTTTGTTGTTTTTCAAGGAACCCATTATAAGTATTCGCACATTTTCCTCCCGATTTCAGTTTTATGTACTTGGATCGCTGGTGAGTCCGTCGAGTTTTGTTTCTGCTACGCTGTGGGGTGCCCCGACGGTCCCAACAATTCTTACATGTCGTATGCATTATTTGGGTTTTCCACAAAAGGATTAATCTTTTGGCTTAAAGGATCGATCTCTTGCACAAGGATTAATCTTTTTGTTAACTTTACATATTGAAATACAAAGCATCAATCCTTCGTAAAAATGGATCGATGTTTTGGCTCTACTAAAAATGGTAAAATTATATTCATTAAAGACTCCAAGTGTAACACCTAAACCCGATTGGGCCTAATTTACCACATTGGGCTACCGTGGTAACCTCTAATTTCAAAGCCTATTCATTCTCATTTCAAAACATACTATGTCGTACAAAGATAATATATACAACAGTTATAAAAATGCTTTTATAAAATAGATGCTCCGTGGCACATGATTTAAAATCAAAATAGTATAACTCAAAGTTTGATAAACCAAATACATAAGTAATGTTCTATGAATACATATTTCCACTAAAGCTACAATATAGTACTCTAAAAAAAATACTGAAAGTCCTGCTATGAAAATGCTCCACCAATGGATCAAGCTAATAACCTACGAACAAAACCATCTAAATGTTGAGCATACAAAACACATTAGTATAATAGCTAATCTAAAGCAGCATTAAGTGTCACATAAACACAAACATGCTAAAGACATGGTACTAAGCATTAGTTACATACATGATCATTATCAAATGCTACCTACTTAAGGTTTTACTACTTTATCACTGAAGTAGGAGTTTCTTGTTTCCCTTAACCCTCTGCTAAGGGCTTCTCCATGAGTATACCTTTATAAGGTCTCTAATCCTAATGACAATAACTTCTATGCATTCTCTAAATACGACATTGACACTATTGTTCATTATCTGAATGCAACATTGACTCTATTGTGCTTTAATTGAATGCAATACTAACTTGTATTTGGTCTCACATAGCCATCAAACACTAATTAACCGAGGGAACCTGGTGTCATATAACATCAGTAAAATTCCCACTAAGCTACTAATGATCTCTTGGTCTCACATAGCCATTAGGTAGATCACGGAGGGGGACCTATTGTCACATAGCATCTACGTAATTTCCGCTCAAATGAAGCATTGGCTCGGTCTCACACAACATGTTGTACTGGAATGATGCAACTATACATGCATGACTAAGGGCTCAAAGGCCAGACAACACTGACACATTAACCCACTTCTCGTGAGTGTTTGGGGTCCGTAACCTAATTAGCCACTAAAGTACCTCACACACTGACAATGCCCCGTTAGGGCAACTAAGGTAGCTTGACTACACCTTAACATAGCTACCCATACTAAAGTGAGGTCATCATGTCACTAACTGTTATCTTGTTTGTTCTCTCATCTGGAACGTTATGCAAGGGTTTATTAGTATGTTACTCCTATTAGTTGTTAAGCTGCTCTATTATGGTAATTCATTATTTAAGGGCATTTTAGTTATTCTTTGTCTCTAGAGAAGTATTTATGTGTTTCATGATTTTATAACGATTTTAATTCTGCTATTCACTTGTTTCAGAATTTACTGGCTCGATAACTTGCTCGAGTTCAATACTGAGTAGCGATACTCTAATCGCTACATGCTTGGCTGAAGGAACTTGAATGCATTATGCCTACCATGGTTATTCTAGTAGTAACCCACTTTTACGAGTGTTTTTAGGCCCGGTTAGCCATTTACATCCCTCACGGACCAAGTTCTACAATTACGGGCATTAAAGAGGTCAAATTTAACCATACAAAGTGGGTAATATCGATACTCTTGCAGTATCGATATCCTAGGATCAAGTATCAATACCCCTATGAGTATCGATACCAGAAATGAATTCTGTTGTAGAAAATTTGGCCCAGTATCGATATTATTACCTCGAGTATCGATATTGTAGGGGTTATATTGATACTCTAGTTTCCAGTATCGATATCCTTTTTTAATGCTAGAAATACCCTTTTATGATGTTGGTATCAAAAAGAGGGGCAATATTGATACTCTCTCCAAAATATCGATACTTCCAGTTGGAAATCTCTAAATTTTATCTTAATTCATCCAGTATCGATACTCAAACCCAAAAACATCTTATTTAAGCTTGGAAAACACCCAAAAATCATCTCAAATGTCTTAGTTTGGTTCCTAAACATGTGCTAAGCTTTAGGGAGTTTTTAGGGTACTAAAGCAACATAAAACACTACATCAAAATAGAGTTTTAGCGGCGTTTTTTAGTCTATAGAGGCGTTTTTAAGCGCCGCTAAAAGTATTTGCGGTGATAGGAAAAACGCCGCAATAAGTGCAGGCAATACCAGCGCCGCTAAAGTTAGCGGCGTTTGAGAACAAAAACGCCGCAATAGGTCAATATCTATTACGGCGTTTTTTGAACAAACGCCGCAAAAGGTCGATATCTATAGCGGCGTTTTTGGAATAAACGCCGCAAAAAGTTATGATATATAGCGGCGTTTCTAGAAAAAACGCCGCAAAAGGACAGATCTATAGCGGTGTTTTTGGATACAAACACCACAAAAGAGAAGACCTATACTGGCGTTTTTAGAACAAACACCGCAAAAGGTCAGACCTATAGCGGCGTTTTTGGGCACAAACACCGTAAAAGGTCAGACCTATAATGGCGTTTTTGAACACAAACGCCGCAAAAAGTCAGACCTATAGCGGCGTTTTTTTATACAAACGCCGCTAATTACCTTTCTTTAGCTAATATTAATTGATTTTGCATATTTCATTTCTGCTATACATCACCTAAATTTATATCTAGCTTTATCTAATTAACAACAACCATACATTTTAATTAAGACAAAAAACATAAAGAAAAATACTTAACAACAAAATAAATTAAATTTTTTTTATGGAGAGAGAACCTTAAAAGACATTAAAGTACAAATGAGTTACAACTGAACCTCAAAGTATAGATATACATGGATTTATTGTTCGATACATCCTCAATTTCACTAGCGTCATCATCATAACCTCCAGATATGCCTTCTAAAGCTACTTTGTTTCCCACTTCATTGGAATTTGTCATATTCATCGTTTTGACATCTTATTTAAAAGTATCATTTGACAGTGAATGATCTCCCCTCAATAGATTAAAAACAAATGGGAAACGTTGTGCCAGTCTATTGAAGAAGTCACTTTTTGTTGAAGTTTGTTCTTCAAGATTACTGCAATTACAATAATTTAGATGAGACTAAGAAGAGAAGGAAACAACCAGCAGAACTTGCATTCATAACATACATGTGAGTGATTGAGAACTGAAAAAAGATGTTGCAACAAACAATAAAAACAGGAAGTCAGGAACCATGAAAACTAAAATATATTCTACATAAGAATGTAAAAAATGTCATCATAAAGAAAAAATTTAATAATGTATTGGTTGCCATCTTACTTTTAGAAGTTAGAATTCTTATCCCAAGAATCTGAGCAAGTTTGTATTCTTAGAAAAGTTAAGGAAATAAAAAAGAGGGATAAGCAATGAAATCTTATAATTTTGGATCAAGAAAGCATGCATGTCTAAGTCCCTCAAAGTTCATAGGGAAAACCCTAGTAGGTTCAATCATTTCAAGATTGCTTCATGTGCCTTTTGATCCTATTCATGATCAGTAAAATAAACAAATGAATCAAGGAACATATATTTCCAGTTATAACTTTGTACTATAAGAATTTTAGACGATAAAAAGAACTCAAAAAGTGAACTACTTACTCAAAAAATGATCCCCGAACACTGTGCTAACAAGCATGTTCCCTCATTGCTTGATTCTTCTGAATTCCTTAAAACGAAGAATTATACCATTACTTCAAACCCATAAGGACTGTACATATACAGAAAACAAAGAGATAACAAAGAAAATATTGAGCTTCGCAGCTCCTAGAAAAGTATCAAATTATTAGAGTGAAGCTTTCAAAGAAAAACATGGACCATAAAACTTTCGAGAGTTTGGTTATATTTTCTTCTTTCATTGCCAATGAAAGCTTGACCTCAGTACGGTATAATATAAACAAAAAGAAAAAAATAAAAAAAATATATTCAAGGACTTACCTCTACTATTGTCACCTTCCTTGGGTTTATTCTTCTCCTTAGAAGGGTCAACATCAAATACTCTAGGACTAATCTTCCTCGACAGAATTTGAGCACGAACATAATCCTGACGATCTAAGCAAAGGCGAACCTGCAAAATTTAATTATTGACAGGGTGACAATAATATTGCAGTCTTAATATAAAAGATAAATTCATATTAAAAACAATTAAGGGTCATGATCAAAATAAGATGCTCATACTTGTTCAAGAATGAAGGCAATTTTCTCAGTTTTTGCCATAGCACCAACTATGATATTCTTTAGGTGAAACAAGGGAAATAAATAAGAGTTGCGTAAAGTCGTACCGAGGAGCCAAGTTTAAACCGGGTTTTGGTTTTTAAATTCAAGAAAAATTGGTTTATAGGGTCCTCGTTATGTTCCTTTCTTTTCGTACAAGAAAATAAATCAGGATTTGTTTTGGCCCGATAGGGCTTTTAGATTTAAAATTTAGGGCTTTACCCATCCTAGAATTTAATTAGGGTTCTAAGTTATTTATTACAATATCGGGTGAACTCGTTATCTTGAGGTGACGAGTTTTTTTAAAATATTATTTTTTAATAGACTCGGATGAGTGGATCTTACTTAGGTCATTAATTTATTGTTTTTAAGTGGACTCGTCACGTCGGGGTGATGAGTTCCTTCGAATTCAAATTTTTTGCATTATAATCGTTGGAATCAACAGATTAAACCTGAGTAAACTCATGTAGTATGTCTCTATGTCTTGCAAGTTTCTGGGTTACCGAAGTAGTCGGTGCAGAAGATGCAGTACATCTACTCATACGATCAGTCCAACAGCTTCTCAAGCAATGATTGAATTTCAATTTCCATAGACTTCCATGATCTGCTTGACCTGGCCGGTGGCGACCCAATATCTACATAATCTAAATGTAAGTAAATATTATCACAAAGAAGAAGAAGAAACGAAAGAGCACCAGATTCCTAAGGCTTTGGATTCCTAAAACAGGAAAAACATTCCCATTAAACAAATCTTATTTATTCAGATTTTAGAATATGTTCAGTTCTTCAACAAATTTGTTCCTAATTTCAATAATCTATTGGGAAAAAAAAGAAACACACATTCCAGAAAATAACAATAAAAAGGAGGAAAACGAGCAACCCTCCTAGATTGAACCTAGCACCGAGCTTAGCATAAGAAGATAGTTTGACATCGAGATCGCCTTCGATCTTTCGAGCTTCTTTCCTCAATTCCTCCCAACCCGATTCTAGTTGATTCAGGTTTAAATCCATCATTTGGATCTCGGTAGTTCAACTTCAGATTCCTTGCTCTTCAATTCCAGCGATGAGTTCTTTTAAAAATGTGGATAAGGGAATCTAAATCAGAGATAGCATAAAAATGGTAATGAAATATATGGGTTTGGGGTTTGGTAGTGAAGAAGATGGGTTTGGGTAAACGGCGGGATTGAAAAATGCTTGAAAGAGAAAAAAATGAAAAAATGGTTAAAGGGCGCGACACTTAAAATTTGTAAACTTGCGGCGTTTGTAAACACAAACGCCACTATAGTACAAGTGTATAGCGGCGTTTGAATAAAAACGCCACTAAAGTACGAGTCTTTAGCGGCGTTTGTATAAAAATGTCAATAAAGTACGAGTCTTTAGCGGCGTTTGAATAAAAATGCCACTAAATTACGAGTCTTTAACGACGTTTGTAAACACAAATGCCACTATAGTACAAGTGTATAACGGCGTTTGAATAAAAATGCCACTAAAGTACGCGTCTTTAGCGGAGTTTGTATAAAAATGCCACTAAAGTATGAGTTTTTAGCGGCATTTGTATAAAAACGCCACTAAATTATGAGTCTTTAGCGGCGTTTGTAAACACAAACGCCACTATAGTACATGTGTATAACGGCGTTTGTATAAAAACGCCACTAAAGTACAATTCTATAGCGGCGTTTGTATAAAAATGCCACTAAATTACGAGTCTTTAGCGGCGTTTGTATTAAAACGCCACTAAAGTACTACTCTTTTGCGGCATTTGTTGAAAAAACGCCACTATAGATGAACCTATTGCGGCGTTTTTATAAAAACGATGCTAAAGTTACCATTTGTGCCATTTGCTATGTAAACGCCGCTATATGTTTAAAATTAGTGGTGTTTACTCCTAAAACGCCGCTAACAAAGCCGATGTAGAACAATTTTGCTGTAGTGAAAACACCTTATTTACACTTAAAATGTTATTTAATAATAAAATCAAATATAAACCCTAAAATGCTTAAACACACAAATCCTATACATTTTTCATATTTATGAAACTCTTAACACTCCAAACGATTAGATATACACTACTTTGACATTAGGATCCCAAAATGAAGCTCATTGCTTAGCGACACTCGTTTCCTCTAAGATTTGGATGAAAACCCTCACTTTCTCTTTAGCTATAAAGAACCCAAGACTTGAATCATCAAACCAAAATTGTTGGAGGTGTTTAGGATGAAAATGAAGCTTAAAAGAAGTAGGAAATGGCTCAAAGGACTTACCTTTGATTTATGGTTCTTGGGTGGAATAATGAAGAATAAAAGGTAGAGAAATGAAGAATAAGAAATGAAGAGAAAATGAAGGAAAGAAGATGAAATGAGAGATATAAAATCTCTCATCCTTTAATAGATAATTGGGCTCAATTCCAACTAAATTAAGTCCAACGACTTAAATTACGAATCTCACGGGGTTTATATACCTCTCGTGTAAACTTGAAACTACTAACCCAAAATTTAGGGTGTTACACCAAGTTTACCCTTAGCCCTAGTATGATCCCAAACCCTTATAATGAGTTCAAATAGGTACAAACCTTATAATTAGTCAATTTGATGTTTGGTGGACATACGCATGTTTTAAATTACTTACGTTTTAGTCCCTAAATAAGCATGATCAATTAGGTCCTTAAATGAAGTTAGATTACTCTGTAATTTTGCAGGCAGGGCCGGTCTTATACATGTGCCAGATGGGCGACGGCCCAGGGTAGCATGTAGGGGCATCAGCATGTAGGGGAATCATTTTCTAAAGACAAAGATGGGCAGCATGTACGTGCTACTGCAAGCTGATTTGGACAAAGAAAGGTGCTGCTGACTTTGGTTTTGTTGGTAATTATTTGGTTCACCATTCAACTCGACATCAGTTTAGTCAAACCCTTGTTCAGTTCCCCCACTTGTTCTTTTCTCACCACTTAATTGCATTGGAGAATCAGGGAATGGAGTGTTGAGTGAAGGAAGCTCTGAAATTACTTGAAAATGGGGAAACCCATTTAGCTTTATTTTGGTAATTATTTGGATTCGCTCATTCCACCAAATGGGTTTCCTCATTCTCCAGGTAAAATCTCATAGATACTTTGGCTTAATTTTGGATTCGCTCATTAAAAACCCTTTCTGTGTATCTATTATTTCTCTATAGTTGGAATTTGGGTTTTTGGTTCTGCATTTTCCCTATTTTCTTTTGTTTGTACTTTCTTTATGTATGGGTTTCGGTTATTTTTGTTCTTTCTTTCGAGTCTGATAATGGGTATCTCTCGGTTTTACAAGTTGTTCGGGCTAAATTTTTAGGGTACCTATTAGATGATGGATCGTCAAGGCAAAGAGGGAAATCAGACTTGTCTGTTTTTAAGAATTTTGTCGAAGATTGCCTTGATTATGAACCCAAACCAGTTGAGAGACATGCGAAGTCGAAGCCACCGAGTTCAAATGATAATCAAGTTGATAAGTTTTCAGGTTTGAGTATAAGGTAAGGCCAAGTTCAAACACTTCAACTTACATTCCACTAATCCTTAAGTGGCAAGTGGCAAATAGCAAAGCCCTGATTGTTACATTTTCTTTTGTTTAATAAGAAGCAATTAGTCAGTCCTGTAGAACTCAGTGAGCGATTGTCGGATATTCGATTTGTTCGACTATCAACTATAAAGTATGCAATTATACTCTTGCTTGTCAATTATGGCTTTATTGATATATATATATATTTAAGTTCCCTTCAAGTTTGGCTTACCCATATTTATTACTTTCTAGGGCCTTGATAAAGCATTACTATACATACACCTCATCAGGTAGATGACAATATATTTTTGGACTCTTTGCAGGAATTTGTTGAAGGGAGACACCCTTTATGGTTGTTGGGCAACCATAGGAGTGTTGACTGAAAAGGGACTCCAAAGACTAGTTCAATCGGGCAGAGCTATTCCATATGGAAAATTGGGTGCTTAGATGAAAATATTGTTTCTCTTTTCTTGTTTGGTGATGCTTATGAGCAGAATTGTAAGGAGCTTAATCAATTCTCCCTTCGAAAATCCAAAAAAATTAATGGAAGTTGGATGGTCTTCTCGGTGCAGGCGGTGCATAATCATCGATGGAAGGGCATAAAATTATTATCTCGCTAGGGCATTAAAACTCATTGGACCGACCCTGTTTGCAGGTGACTAATTAATATGACTAATTATGCATTTGTCAACGTATGTGAAAATGCCATTTTACCCTTTTTGGTTAATTCATTTGTTTTGCGATGAATGCCTTGTATAATTGAAAGAAACATGGTGTATAATTATTTCCGTTTCTATGATATGCATAACGAGTGTTTACTTTTATTTGCTTCCGCTTAGTACACAATTCTATGATTCGTTTTGTTTGACTCGCTTCAAAATCTAACGTGCACTTAGAATACTCGTGTCATTCTTCACGGCTGGGTATAGCCGAGTTTAGTGTCATGGTTTAACTATATACCAATTCAATTAGAAAAAGATAAAAATATAACCCTTTTAAATGGTAATTAATATAATTATAATTTTTTTTGTTTATTTTTCAATCTTTTATATAATTTTAAATAAAACGAATATCATCACTTAATCTTGAAACATAAGATTAATAAATTCAAAATCGAATCATCTATCACTCAACTTATAATTATTTATTAAATATATTTTATAAGTATTTTATGCATAAAATATCCTCGTTTACTCGTATAGAAGGTATGACAAAATTTAATATAAATTATATTTATGAGAAAAATTATAGAGATTAAACTTATTTAAAGCGAGTTAAATAAGTTTTTCATTAATGTATACAAATACAGGTTTTCTTAATAAAAATATATTTTTTGAATAATCTGACGTAAGAACATGACAATATCTGTTTAAACATAACTCTCAATCTTTTGACATTGATAGCTCACACCTTTGACATCTATGATGTTCGAATCCGGGTCCTCTAGGAATAACATCAACAATATATTTAAAAAGATGATGT